GGAGCCGCTGTATTTTAATTCGCTGCACTATGTCTATACCGTTGTAAAGCTCATACAGCTCATCGTTCCATCGTCTGCGGTACTCGCCGTCGCCAACGCGTAAAGGACCGTAAATCTTCCGCAAAATCTTTCTCTCAAACACCCCAAGAGCCGCCTCATCGGATGTTGTCATTGTCCATGCTTCTGCGCCATATACCAGCACGGGCATGATGAGTGACTTATAGAGCGTGGTTTTCGTACGTCGAGAGAGGACTTTACTCCTGAATTGCCTACTCAGTCCAAAGTAGCACTTGTTGGCAAGAGTGATTCTACGTTGGATTTCAATGCTGACATTATTATCGGTGTTAATGCTGGTTCCCAAGTAAACGAAATTCTTTACTTTCTCGAAATTGTAACTGTCAACAGTGACGTGGGTGCCAAGGCGCGAATGTGCTGACTGTTTGCTTGATGACAGGAGATACTTCGTCTTGTCCTCGTTTACCACCAGACCCATTCGTTTTGCTTCCCTATCCAACTTGGAAAAGGCAGAACAGACTTCGCGGTTTTTGTTACCGTCGATGTCGATGTGCATACGCCAGCAATTGCAGGCTCTTGTAGTAAATTGTTCCTGAGCGGTTCAGTTCTGCAGCTCTTATTATCTTCTCCAACAGCAGATTAAAGAAGTCACATGAAAGGGAGTCGCCCTGTCTGAAATCCGTTTTGTGGCGAACGGCTCCGAGAGGTCTTTCCCAATTCTGACGGAGCTGGTGGTATTGCTCAACGGGCGTGGCAATTGCAGGACTAAAATTAGCAAAACGCGGATTTTATTGCTGATTTCGGCACGATATCGCTTCGTTACCAATATTTGTTCCACAACTTAAGATGAAGTCTCTACGATGGGCAGAACCCTAGATGTAACGATTTGAAGAAGTACAGGATTAGTCAGAATCACGAAAAAATGCAAATTTTTACAGATCATATCTCCAAAGAAAAAAGCAAAAAAAAAACAAATTCCTCGAACACGTGTGGGCTTATTTCATGTATAGAACCCATACAAAAAATTTGAAGCCAATCGAAAGTGTGACACGAAATTTGGTGTCCGATATGAAAAAGAATGTCTCATATGGGAGGAAATGCGCAACACCATCGGCCAACAAAATTCTCGAAAATTAGCGGGATTCTTAAGAATTTTCAAACCTGCCATTGCATAAAATTGAATGGGCTACATAAAATTGAATGGGCTACAAAACTGCATACCCAGAAAATTTTGATGACATGTTTTTGAAATTTGTTAAATTTTCTTTAACTGTACACAAAGTTTTGACTTATACGGTTTATATTATAGGATCTACTATATTTTTATAAAAAACAAGTAATTTTTAAACAAAAAACAAAACCGACTTCAATTCTCATATAAAAATTCATGATTTAAACCAAATTTATATGGGACCACCTGTGAGGTAACACCTTTCCTTTAAAAAAAGAATTATAGAAATCAGTTAACGTGGTCCAGAGTACATGAAAAAAAATATTCCGACGAATTTATAACCTTTCTCCTTTTTGTAAAATCGGTTGAAAATTAGCGAAAACAAGTAAAGAAGTATAAGTTCGGGCGAAACCGAACTTTATATACCCGGCGCAGATATCAAATATCGTCGTTTGAATTTTCTCTAAACGACCTTTGCACAGAGACATAACTGTTATAAGAGAAAAGAATAAAAGTCAATCAATAATCATTATTTTAAGATAAATATTTTCCGAGTCATCTATAATTATTATTCAAGGACTTATATTATAAAAGTCCTTTCATAATAATTATCAGAGAGATAAATATTTTTAAGTCTTCAAGACTTTTATTTTAAGACTTATATTATACAAGTTTTTTCATAATAATTATCATTGAGATAAATATTTTTAAGTCTTCAAAGACTTTTATCTTAAGACTTATATTATAAAAGTCTTTTCATAATAATTATGAGTGCGAAAATTTTTTTTAAGTCTTAAAAGACGGGACTAGTTCAGGAGTGTTTCAAGATTAGTTGGGGACCAGTTCGGGACTAGGTGTGGCCCAGTTCGGGACTAGTTGGGGAGTAGTTTGGGGACCGTTAGGGTTTGGTTTGCGACCCGTTCGGGACTATATACAAAATTTTTTCGCACTCATAATTATTATCAAAAGACTTATAATATAAGTCTAAAAATAAATAATATAAACAAAAAACTTTTTCATATACAACGCTTTTATAATTGGACTAAAAAGTAGAAAATAATATTTAATAATATAAAAATGAAAAGCGTGGGGCGCATGTAAAAGACCTGAATTGATATGAAGGGTAATATATGCATGTATGTGGATATGTGAATAACGACAGCTTAAAATCGATCACAAATTTGTACTTTCTCTGTAGAAATTTTAGGTCTATGTTATGTAGTTTGACTAAGTATTGTCAATTAAATCTAATGCTTTGTATTGCATGCGCCCCACGCTTTTCATTTTCAATCTCATAAATGGTTTATAATCTGCCTTATCCTGAGTTTCGCCTGAAAAAAAAATTCACCCGAATATTTGTCATCCGCCCATAGTAAAACCATGGAAACCAAAAGTGAAAAGTGAACCGGTTCGGGGAAAATTAAACTCATGATAAGGCTGAATAACTTTTGCTGAAATTTCAAAATCAAAAGTTATCAAAACAAATTCTATGGCACAGAAATATTATTTTCTACTTTTTAGTCCATTTATAAAAGTGTTGTATATTAAAAAGTTTTTTTATACTATTTATTTTTTACTTTTTAGTCTTGCCTGTATAAAATTTTGCAATAGATATTAAAATAATACAACGATATTAATAGATTGGAGCACACACAGGCATATACATATGTTTGTACATACATACGAGCACCAATTAATTTCATTTAAAGAAATGGCGTGTCGTTCATTTCCACTGTAGCGTACGTAGTGCCCTATGCATTACACTTATTTATAGGATCTTTGCAAAGCAAAGGTTTTATAGCAATGAATGGTGTCTGGACACACAACATTGCAAGTTGATAAAAACGTTGTAAAAAAGTCTTTGAAGACGTAAAAATATTTATCTCGATGACAATTATTATGACAAGACTTTTATAATATAAGTCTCTAAATAAAAGTCTTTGAAGACTTAAAAATATTTATCTCGCTGAAAATTATTATGAAAAGACTTCTATTATATAAGTCTTAAAATAACAGTTATCGATGACTTAAAAAATATTTTTCACACATAATTTTTATCAAAAGACTTTTATAATTCTTACGAATATTTGGATGACTTTTTTAAAACTCCACCATGCAATAGTTATTATTCTTGGTCACTACCATTGCATGATCAGCAAGGGTATTTTTCCCGATTTCAAACGTTTTTTTTAATATGCTGAGCAAGACTTAATGGAATAATTGAACCAACTTTGGTAGAAATCGATAAAGTGTGTACCGAGATACACCTTTTATTCATAAAGTGGACGGTGCGGAAAGTCTTTATCAGTCTTATTTATTTTTAAGAGACTGTTGTTACTATTAACTTGGAGTAAATTAGCGTTCTCAGCTATGTCTGAATTTTCCCGTTGTACGGGAAGTGGGTGTAATTTTATTCCGAATTGAATAATTTTCAACGAATCTCTTCCCCGTAACAGCGTTATTAAGTGCACCGAGTTTGATTGAAATTTATAAATCGGTTAATCGAGATACACATTTGTGTCCATAAGAGGGCGGCGCCACGCTCATTATCCGATTTCAAAAACTTCCAAAAAGAGTTTGATAAGGATTGGTGTAGCGGCTACTGAGATACAGCATTTCATCATAGGTGAGCGGTGTCACGACCATTTTCCAAAAATTTTATAATATTATTTTATACCAAAATTCTACTTCACATACTAATTTTCAACAAATTGGACCTAATATTTGCATACTAAAATATCGCGGTTTTTGCATTTTTCGAAAATACCTTTATATGGAAAGTGGGCGTGGTTACAGTCCCATTTTCATTACCAACCAACCTTGGATAAAGGGCCAACCAAGGGATACCAAATTTCGTTGAGATATCTCAATTTTTGCTTAAGTTATCGTGTACATTGATTCATTTTGGCTGTTACAAGCAACCGTTATGTGAACAAAGTTATAATACCCTTGTGCACAAGTGCGCTCGGGTATAAAAATGTATCACTGTATAAAAAATTTAAATAAAAAAACTATTTTCAAAGAAAAAAAAACATTTACTGCACGATTTTCACTGGCACTCACCGTAGCCTATGGTTCCCCTGGGGCCGCATGAACGTACTGTAAAAATTCCATAAAGATCGGTTGAGTACTTTGAACGCCTGTAAAAGACACACTTATACATTGTATAAGCTTTTATTATGTTTCACCTGTGTGTAATCAAATCTTGCAATCAAATTTTAGCCAATTTCCCGGTGTGCTATAGAATTAAGCTTTAAACTGACTGAGGAAGGTGGTTCGCTGAGATTGTTCATTGTCAGTGTAAACAAATTTGGAAATTCTTTGCCACTATAATAATAATAGATTGGTCTTACACATTTTTTAGTGTTTGGCCGGGCTTCTCCTCCGATTTGTGGCGTGAGCATTGATGTTGTCACATAAGGGGAGGGACTTACAGTTTTTCGCCGACTCCGAACGGCGATTGTATTTTTATGAGAAGCTGGGCGAGTTACAAATTGCATGTTGCTTTATATTTGTACAAAGTATCGAGTTCCTAAAAGCAAAATACTTTTAATATGCAATGTATCATGTCCTGGTTTACATTTCATGCGTTGTAGATACGCATGAATTGATCATATCGCGCATGAATAATTTTTGTAATGCTCAAACTGAAACAATGGGTGCATTCCAAAACATCAAAGTACAAAGTATCAGTCTCTTTTATTTCTAAACCTCGGTAGATTGTAAAGCCAAATTTACGCAACCACGGTTAGATGCTAGTTTTCAACTAGGTTGGGCAAGTTAGACTTTTCCTTCGAGTGTGGTTTAGAAATAAAAGACACTGATGCTTTGAATTTTGACGCTTTGGAATGCGTCCAAAGCAGCAGGGTTGTTCCACTGACATTGTAATATTGTGTATATATTTATCATCAATAGAAAGCAGAATGCAAATTGGAACTCGCCCGCTGTTTCATGGCAGAAATACACTCGGAGGTGTCTTTGCCTGCCGAGGGGCGACCGCTATTAGAAAAAAAAACTCGTTTTTTTTTTATGTTGGGTTGAACCGGGCTTGATCCCAGGCCCTGCGGAATGTTAGCGCTCACTGCTAACCGCTACAGCACAGCGGCCGACTATGATTCCACCAAATTAAAGGATCTTCTTTTCTGAGTATAAGGAGTAGCTGTAAATATTTCTCCATCGTTTGGGTATCTACATCACTACAAAAACTGGAATCAGTATCAGAGCTGTTGGCGATTTCCTCGAAGCATTGCCAAATATCCAGGGCTCGAATCGTCACATGCGATATCGTATTACTCGTCACGTAAAAAGACATTTTTCGGATTATGACATACGTGAACGTACTCTTTACCCCATTCAGCTTATACGACTGACGGTATCACGTAATTTTCTTTCGTATGGTTTTGGATCCGTGAACGGATGTTGCGATTCGAGCCCTGGTCTCGCTCTTCAATAGAAGCGAGAGTGAAGTTCACCATCGACCCAGATTTATTGATGTCAGAAAAGAAAACCAGTTTTGAAACGTGTGTCACAAAATATTGCAACAATGAAGCCTTACGGGGCGATTCGGGAATTTCGGTTCCGGCATTCAGTTATCCGGCAAAATCTCTATCCGGCACATCCCTAGTTTCATATTTAGAGCGTATCGAGGGCTTATATTCAATATCTTCTAACTGCAATTTTAACAAAAACTACTTTATGATGTTAGAACCCATCTGGGTCTAACCTCTCATCAGTGATGTTAATTCTTACTTTGCAATTTAATAGTACATTCTTGGCTGACTTCCAAAACGTATCAATACAATGTTTGGAAACTGTTATACTGCGGTATTCAAACTGTTTGTATATGCAGAGTTGCGACACATTGCAACCATATACATTGCATATTTTAAATATTCAATATAGCAATGAACAATTTTTCTAAATTTTCCATTTCTAAAACACCAATGCTAACCAATAACAAACGAAGCATCAACTTTGTTTCTGATGCGCTGATTGCTCCAGCGATGCGGTTCGATAACTTTTCGGCTGCGTTTTGGAACAGTATACATTGTCAATATTTTGTAGTTCGACGTTATGGAACCTTATACTTTGTACGTATGCAAAGCAATTGACGTTTTGGAAGTTAGCCCTTCTGTCAAGCGTTGCACAAGGTCAGCATTAATATCACCGATGACAGTTCGGTGGATTTTTATATCAGAAACTCATTTTTGTGAAAAGTGCAGATAGAGGGTATTGTATATAAGCCCTCGGTGTATTACTTAAATGGAAAAAAATAGCTCCACAAAATATTTAGCTGTTAGGTGGTACGGGGTAGATTTTTTTTTATTAAGCACTCATATAGCTTGTCTTTAAAAAATTTGTTTTTTTTTTAATTACTTATTATACATAAGAATAAGTGCATATAAATTCTACCCCAAATCTTATCTGTTCAAATTATTAAATGCAAACTTAACTACACGAGAACTACCGCGTTATCAGCTTTCGAAGCATAGGTTACAAGGTTTTATAGAAAGTATTGTGTGAAAGACTGAAGCCCACCGTCAACGAACTGATTGGACCTTATCAGGTATTAACAATACGTCTAATCTTGGAAAAGACCCGCGAGAATAGGATCGACACGCACCATCTATTTTTCGATTTCAAAGCCGCTTTCGACAGCACGAAAAGAAGTTGTCTTTATGCCGCGATGTCTGAATTTGGTAACCCCGCGAAACTAATACGGCTGTGTAAAATGACGTTGAGTAATACCATCAGCTCTGTCAGAATTGGGAAGGACCTCTCCGAGCCGTTTGATACCAAACGTCCTAAAGTCCTCTCTCATCGTAAAAAGATCACACTCTATTAGTCACTAATCATGACTGTGTTGGTGTATGGCGCGGAGGCATGGACAATGAAAACATCTGATGAAGCGGCTCTTGGAGTTTTCGCGAGAAATATTCTGCGAAAGATTTGCGGACTTTTACGCGTTGGCGATGGGGAATACCGTAGACGATTTAACGATGAGCTGTATGAGCTTTACAACGATATAGACGTAGTGCAGTGAATTAAAATTCATTGGCTCTGCTGGCTAGGTCATGTCTTACGAAGGACAGAAATGCTCCTGCTCTGAAAGTATTCAATGCGGGCCGCGATGCTGGTAACAAAGGAAGAGGAAGGCCTCCTCTGTGTAGGAAAGACCAGGTGGAGAAGGACTTGGTTTCACTTGGCATTTCCAATTGGCATCAGTTGGCACAGAAGAAAAATGACTGGCGTGCTGTTTTTGATTCGGCCAAAATCGCCTAGGCGGTTACAGCGCCAATAAAGAAAAATAAGAAGATGCCATGGTATTAAGCTATAGAGAAGTACATGTTTTCAATAATACTAATAATGGATTGGCGCTTCTCCTCCGATTTGTGGCGTGCGTCTTGATGTTGTCACACAAAGCGGAGGGACCTACAGTCTTACGCCGACTCCGAATGGCGATTGTATTTTTATGAGAATCTGTTGTTCATGGCAGAAGTACACTCGGAGGTTTGCCATTGCATGCCGAGGGTCGACCGCTGTTAAGAAAAGACCTTTTTTCTATATTTTTTGCGTTGTTGCTTTGACCAGGGTTTGAACCCGGGCGTAGCGGAGTGGAAGCGCGCACTGCTCACCACTACACTACAGCGGCCGACACACGTTTTCAATACTTCTTTGAAATTCAAAAACTGTTTCGCCATCGATTGCATAGCCATGCTTTCATCTGATTTAACCCATTTCCTTTTGACTTTACATAAAGAACTGTTAATAAATTTCGTGAAATACTGACGTCTGAGTTATTTTTGCACTAAATTACACACGAGAATTTCGGAGATATCAAAGTTTTATTGGAATTGAAATTGAGGGCGGTGTTAAATTCACGACTGAATCAGTCCATTCACAAGAAAACTACGTGCATATATGTACATAAATACACTTACGCATATATTATAAAATAAACAAGATAAAGATTGACAAAAGTGACTGGACAGAAACATGGAAGTAGGTGGATGACTTGGTGATACGGTGAGCTGTGCGGTGTGATCTTGGAAGCGTGTGGCGTGGTTTTGTAGTGTCGTCCGTCGATCCGTCTTATCACTCTCCTTTTGCTTTGCGCTCTTATCTGCATACAACTGTGTGCTTGTAAGTTCGTGTGTTTGCGTTCAGTGTCGGCATTTTTACGAGTTTTAGTTTTTTGAATTTTGTTTCTGTGCCTCATTTTCGTAATAAAAACCAAACAATTATCAACGCAAATGGGTTTTACGGCGCAGTAAACCAAATAAAAATCCCCAACAAATCCCAAAGCAAAAATAACAATACATTATGTATGTATGTCTGCGTGTGCGTATCTATGCATGTACATACCTATACCCTTGTGGTCAGCTGATTAAGTTAAGTGACATTTTTACAAATTTTGGCAATTTTGTTTTTAAATTTTAGGTGTGCAGCTTAATAGCTCATTAAATTTTAGTAGGTTAAAGTGCAAATTTCAAGACGCTGAAAAATCGCGTCCATATAAAAGAAACTGTCGAGCAACGCCGTCAGCCAAAAAAATTATAAAAAAAGAAAACCGATTTTCTGGCGTCTTGATATTTGCATTTTAGCCTAATAAAATTGAATGGGCTATAAAACTGCATACCTAAAACTTTTCTAAAAATTCTAAATAAAAAGTTTAACATTTTTTGGTGCAATTGTTAAAGTTGTAGAACTTTTGTACGAAATTTGAAATTCGAATTTGTGTGGTGTTATTTATGAAGGTTATACGCTAGATTTTTTTTAAATAAAATCATAAGCATTAAATAAGCTCAAGACAAATAGGCAAAACTGGTCAAAATGTCACTTAACTTAATCAGCTGACCACAAGTGTATGCGTTTTTCTTGACAAGTTGCATTGAACTTGTTGTTGGCATCATCATGCCAGGTACGCGTGCCCCACACTCATGACTGCCACCAATACTAACACCAAATTGGGATTCCGTTGTTGCTATAGCTTTTCATTTATCGCTATTCGTTTGGTATGCTTATTTCTCTCCCTATCTTTTTCTCGCTCTCTGATCAATTCAAGAAATTCGCATACATTCGTAGATAAGTATGTACCCTGCAGCAATTCAGACTCACCCTAGGTTAGCTCTCAGATAGTCCCTAATGTTACCAGCACTAGTCCCTCATAATTCCCCTGCCAATGGTTTCAACTGCCATTTTTAGCATTGGCGTGTCATTGGAGAAGGACCGGTCCAATCAACACTGACCGTAAGATAGTCCTGGACTAGCCCAATTTTGGAGATTTTTTTCGTTGGAGTAAGACTGCGTTCTGCACTTCACAGATGCTTTTTCATATTTCGGAAACACAAAAAAAAAATATATATCATTTTATAACCATGTTGCCTCTGACGCCATTTGAACCCGGACCCTCCTGAAAGCTAACAAATAGTGGCGAGAATCTCTGCGCACTGAGCTACAGCCACGCATGTAAATGTGTGTTCAAATGTTCACTTTGAATCAAGGCCCAGACCAAGCGATTGGGACATTTACAGGGTGGTGTTCTTTAATTTTTTTATTGAATTACAAGACAACACCACCCTGTCACTGCCAAACTGTACTTTTCGTCTATCTCTAGACCGATTCCTTGGGGACTGGTCGAAAGCTGACATTTTCGAAGCAAGAAAATGTCCAATTCTGACCAGTCAAATTTTAACCAGTGAAGTGCTGGTCCTTTACGGAAAATTGGCCGCCTGCAGGGTATGTACTACGCATGTAGTGGGGCTAGCGGTGAGCTGGCAGATCACTCATACCACCCGTACGCCGATGGCGCTTACTACTATACTCACTTCTAGCCAGACGTTGTCAACGACGCTTTCCGCTTCTGTGCGCGCCTTCCGTTTCCTAAACTCGGTATATGTAGCTGGCATTGTGACTTAAATACTTATACATATGTACGTATTTGAAAACTTGTATGCACGCACATGTACACATGCATATCATCGGGTCGGTTTACTGTAAAAGCCATCCAACAACCGTCGGTTTTGTACATACATATGTACATATATAGTTTGTAGCTAGCGGTATTGTGCGCGCAAAATCTCATAAAAGTCGGCCGCACATACCATATGATTTCAGTCTTTTGAGTTGAGTCGTGGCTGTCACTTCGTAGCATAGGCAAATATTCGTAATTTGGTAAATAACAAAACTGCTACAGATGAAAAACGGAAGCAACCAAGAATCAAATAAAGAAAAAAAATACAAGTAACTAAAGGCAAAGTGTGCTGGAAAAGTTGCGAAACTGTTCAGCAGAAAACCAAGTGTTCACTCAATACAATTAAAAAATTGAAGAAAAAAGTTTAGCATTTTCTTTAAATCGCTGACTTGATTGTGCCGTTGATGAAAATATCAATGCAATAAGCGTGAAAAGTGTGTGCGAAATTGCATCAGCCAAAAAGTTGAAAGAAGCGAACAGTTAAAAACTCGGTGCTAAAGTTTTAACCGGCAGAGCTGGAAAATTATTTACAAAGTGCAAACTTTTATTTGGATTATTCTTCAAACGCAATAAATAACTAAGTAAGTACTGCTGGGTACAAAGTTCGTTATTTATGTACTTAGGAATTTGAAGTTACTGCTATAACAGCCTCAATTCTTGAAGAGATATTTTTCGCAGAGTATGGGCTGTTTTTAGATGAAGGTGTATAATGGAACAAAAAACTAAGATATTTTTATGAAAATTCTTTTTCATATTGCCAGGTTTAAGATTTTATTAAAAGGCATATCTGAGTCAAATAAAAAGAAATCATTTACTATTTTCATCCATTGCCATCTTTCTTTTCCGAACATATGCATATTCATTGAGTTGCGAGAATGGAGAATGGTTTCTAAAACGTAAGTTAATCAATTTTAAATTTCAAAAGTTAATATCACTTCTTAGAAGAGAATTAGTTATTTCGAGACGCACTTTTCAAAAGCATAAAAAAATTGACTAAATGTAACTTGAAGACTCCCGTTTTCACTACCGTTTGGGTGTAACGATTTCAAAACAAGGTGCATTAAGCTATATAATGTTAAGCAACAAAAAAAAACAATACATAAACAGTTCACGACTTCAATGTAGTGCCATGTCTCAAATCAAATGTGCCCTCCCGTTTCCATTAAAATTAACCTCCTGCGTGCAGTATCAATTTAAATGCAAACTCAAGGAAACAAGCGAAATGCGGCTCTAGCTTGTGCGATCCGGGTTTAAATTAGATATACATACATACATACAAATTCGCAGCAATTTCTTGAATGCTATTTTTTCAATTAAAATACATGTACCCCTTCATAAAGCTTCTTAAAAATATTTGTGCATATACATATCGTCGTTTAAAGTACAAAACCGCGTATCGTCATTCTGCAAAACCGCGTAACTGACATTGGCTGCCAAAAATTGGATTTGCTCACACAAGCTCAATCCTTATCCATTCGTCCTGAAATAGACTAGGCAGATATGCAATTGCTTAATAGAAAAGAGAACCATTTTTAAATATGAGTGTTTTTACGCTCTAGAAAATAATTTCTAGAACTTCACATACGCGGTTTTGCATTTTGTTGATACGCGGTTTTGCACTTTAAACGACGATATGTATATGTGTATGTACAGTAATTTTAAAACCCAATATAACTTATGTCGGCCGCTGTGGTGTAGTGGTAAGCAGTGCGTGCTTTCACTCAGCAGCACCTGGGTTCCAGCCCTGGTCAAAGCAACATCCCAAAAAATATAGAAAAAGGTTTTTTCTTAACAGCGGTCGTCCCTCGGCAGACAATGGCAAACCTCCGAGTGTATTTCTGCCATGAAAACAGCTTCTCATTAAAATACCATCGCCGTTCGGAGTCGGCGTAAAACTGTAGGTCCCTCCGCTTTGTGTGAAAACATCCAGGCGCACGCCACAAGTCGGAGGAGAAGTTCGGCCAAATACTAACATATGTGTAAGCGCCAATCTATTATTATTATTAATATAACTTATGTATTATATACATATGTACGTGCTCTTGGAGTTGATGGTTTTAATGAAAGAATGCTCGTTGCATTGCTATTCGCTTTGATTATTGTACATACTCTCCATTACTATTTTACTATTAATTCAATTATTTTTCAATGTACATTTATATAAAGGAATCGGTGATAGTACAGACATGGGAGTGTGTACATACATACATATGTATATATGTACATTTGTTTGGTAACTGATGTCAGCCGTTACGGCAGAAGCTGTTCCTACTCCTGGGCCAATTAAAACGATATTGCGCTTGCAAACATTTCATAAGCTCAACAGCGTGACCAACAATATTACTGCCCACTCGTCCATCGGTCTCTGGTGCTGTTGCAGATTTTAGCCAATATACCTTTTTTAGAACTTACCACACGCTTTTTTAAAGTCAGTCAAATGCGTTTCGCTACTTGCTGCAGGCAACGTGAACATTTTTTGTAGCAAACCAGCTTTAAGACTCCAAGGTTATACCAACTCTTTTTCTTCTGACCAGCATTTATTCGGTGTGTGATATTTTGAATACATGTTCAATGTATTTTCCAAAACTACTCCTTAGATTAATAGTAATTTCGGAGATTTATTTTTTATGCGCCTTTTATTTTTATTCTCGTATGCAATTTATTGCTGAGGCAAACGATACTTTGCTGCACTAAGTACGACGTTGACGGTGAAGACGACGACGACATTGACGTCAACGGCCTAAACAAATATTAAAAAATAAAAAACAAGAAGAAAAACAAAACAAGTGATGAGCGTGGAAAGCAAGTGTGGCAGTGCTGCTGCCATCACAACATCCAGCTGAGCAAATTTTACGTTACTCCATCAACAAAGCAGCAAATCATATTGATACATACATACGTTGCAGATATCTGTGCTTCCCTTAATATTTGTATTAAACACTGACTAAAGCTAATTAGCGTTGGCCTAATCAAACTGTACAATTTTATATTCAGCTAAGTACGTAGTTATTTGTATGTGATTTAAAAAACTTCACATTCCACATTAGTCTGATGCCAGCTAGTCGCTGGGAAAATTAGCGAAGGGGACTTAAAAAAAAATAAATCATTATAAAAACATCAACCATTTCAAATGAAAATCAGTTTTACGAAAGTGTTAACCGCTTTTTACCAGTTTTTATATCGTGTACCCGGCTACGGCGAATAAGTAACTAACATATCTACTGTTTGCTTGGGACTGCTATAGTAAGCTTTACGTGTATGGACATACTAGATATGTAGATACATATGTATATTTGGGTGAATCACCAAAAAAAAGGTGCTTTTTCCAAGTTTTACTCAAGTGAATTTCAAAATTTGTAAAACTTTGTATGTCTTTCACCTTAATTCTTGGCTTTACGTTAATCCCGAGCTGTATTTAAAATGTTTCTTATGTAAGCGAAAAAATTTACTGAATGTAATTGGCCCATCTCTACTCAAAAGTTAACTGTAGTAAATAGGTTCATTAATATTATTATTATTATTATTGACTTATGGAGTTGTTGTCTGGGTTTACGTTAAGAGAGTTTTCGTACAGAATCATTTATTTCCATGTTACAGAAGTACGTGCATACTTATGTATTTGTATTTTGTACGAAAATTTTACCACTCAAAAGACATCAAATATTATTCAATCTTTCAGGGCCAGATGAAAAATTTTTCCTAAAGCATAACTCACTAATTAGGAAACTTTGAGGAGTTTTATTGTGTTTTTCATTCTAAAGCATTGCCTTTTTTCGATTTGGCTAATTTTATTCTTTTATTTAAAAAACAAAAATATCTGTTTAACAAAAAAACAAAATTGTTGGTATCGAAATAAAATAACATTATCAACAGAATTTTAGAAAATTAAAACTTCCGAGGTTGATTACTGTATAAATTGCGCTTCTAGAAACATTTTAAACGCTTGCGAGCTGTAAAATAATATTGCGATTTGCCTAGATATTTGGTTGGCTATCATAGCAATATATAATAATAGATTCGCGCTTACACAATACATTCTTTCAACGTACTTAACGCAAAAACAGCCCAAAAATCATTCCCGTACTCAAAGTATGGGTAATAGAAAGCGAAAATTGGAGCTTATTGGATCGTTGGTATCTTCTTCTCCCTGCCCGAAACAGCCTGTTAAAAATGGATAAAATATCAAAGTGCATTTCACCTGTTTTGCGTTTACATATTTCTTGCATTTACTTTGTGCCTTTAAAGAATAGTGAATGGCCTGTTGATGCATTTTCAATTATTTTACATATATTTATATACTATCTAATACAATCAAAATTTTGAAACCAAAATCCAATTTCAAAAAACTACGTGAATCAAGTGTTTCTCAAATTCTGGACACAAAATGTGTTTTTTACGTTCCCGTATTTTTGGACATTTTACAATTTTTGAAATGGAAATGGATGTCACACAAAGGGGACGAACAGTTTTACGCCGATTCCGAACGGAAATTGCATTCTGTTGAAATAACACAAACGGCAATAACGCAAAATTTGCTATATTTCACTTTTAAATGGGAAATAATACCAAAATCTCAGTTTTGCTTTATTTCCAACAAAGGTTGGAAATAAAACAAATTTTGCCTTATTTTCCATTGCTTATTTATACTATTTGTAAAAAAAGTTTACTTACAGAAGGAAATCAACTTTTTATTCCAAAAATACAAAAAAAACAATAATACAGTGAAGCCTTTTTCCATACAAAACAAGTTATTTAATAGCAGCTTTTGGAAAGCTCGCCCGACCCAGCAGCACAACCGCTGATTACTGTGCCTTGCACAGGATGAATCAATGCTTCGAGAAACGAACCAATTTACTAAGAAAGAAAGTTGCAACAATTTTCATTTTTTTCAATTTAAAATTTTTATTTTTTTTTTGTATATCATATTGCACGCTTTGATGTAGAAGAAAAAAATCAGAACAGTTTTTGACACTTTCGATACCAGAAGCAACAACAAAATACAGGCAAATGCTGTTTTTGCTCTAATGCTACTACCTGTTTGATATGCCTTGAATACAACAAAAAATATTTTTACTTATGAAAAGTCTAACAAAATATAGTCGTCTATAATAACTGCTCGGCATATTGGACATAGCGCTTTTGTATGAATTTAATCTGCATGCTTTTTAATATGTTGAAAACATTTCTGGAAAACCTTAAAATGTTTGCATGGAACGATGGCGCAATAAACAGGTGAAGTAATAAAACGGCTTTCTCGCTTTATTTTCTGACATTCGTCTGCCCTATAGCCACATTTTATAGGCAAATTTTCAAATAAGGCAGTGGCACCTGGTAAATTCCATTATCGGTGGGATCCATGCAATAACACCATACACAATAATTCCCATTACTTGGACATAAAAAAGCAGTTTCAGAAGTGAACTAGTGTCGTTTTATTATTTTTCCTTCTTCTAAACAGTTATAATGCCACCAGTGCATAATTGCGAAAGGTGGGGAGAGGGGTGCGGGACGCGAGCGCGACGTCGAACGCGGACCGCCGCAACGCTGGGCACTTTCAAAATTGTATACTTACAAATCCGTCTATTTAACTTGTTCATGTACTATTTTTTGTCAAATGTAACTGGGTGACTACCTATGTGCATTATTTTGCTTTATTACTCAATTGTTAAGTTTAAAAGTTGGTCTTATTGCTCAACGAGTAATGAAATAAAGCAAATTTGTGTTATTTCACATTCAATTGGGAAACAAAAATTTGCGTATTTCCGTTTGCATTATAACCCCCCCCCCCACATGAATTTGATCTAAATAGTATAAGTATGTACATATTTAAATATACTTTTTGATATTTGATACGAGTACATTGTATGGGCTCATAGATACACTTTGACCCTCCGCACACTGAGTCTCACAGAGCGGAATGTACCGTAATATAAAGTGTAGGAAGATACTAAAAAATAAAAATAAAAATAAAAATAATAATTTTGAAAACGGTCTTCACTGTTAGAGTTCATTGCATTGCATGCGGGCAGTATACTTTAAACCTTCATATTTATTTTTAAATGAATGTATACATACTTATGTGCATAAAAACATTTCATCCAAATGTACATATGTTATAAGTACACGGTCAAAAATTTGGGTTTAATTTTTAAACTTTTATAGTCTACTTTTTAAACCAGTCAATAGTTTTACGCAATTTTTAATATATTCTGGTTTAAATTTTAGCCCAAAAAGTTCGTGGTTTAAANTTTTATTCTTAATTATGAAAATGTTTGGGTTTAACATTTAAACCGAATTGTTTAAATTCTAAACCCAACATATGTGCTCTCTTTTTTATAAACTTGGAAGGTTTGTATTTGAAACTGAATTTAGTTTGGTCATATATGTAGTCCAAAAAGTTTAAAATTAAAACCGAAATTTTTAACCGTGTATGTATATGCTTATGTAAGTGTGCATTGTTGAACATTGCTGCAATTTCGAATTTGACGGTCGTTGTATTTAAACCTGTTACTTGTTATTGTTGATATTTAATTACAATTTTTGATTTCTTTGAAATCAACACACTTGGCGTTAAACCGATGATTTTAGCCGATGAATGACGCATTCGAGTAACAATCTTTAATCTACTCTTGCGGCAAGAAATTCCAATTAAATTTGTGTGGTATTTCCCACTTTTTTGGATTACATAAAATAAACCATAGAAGTTATTTAGGCTTTATATGCATATGCACAACAAGATACTGTTTATGTACAATGCATACTTTCATAAATATTTGTAAAGCATACAAGTGGATCTTACATACCTATGCATATACAGCAGCGCGCTGATTCCATCAGGCAACTTATAAAAAATTTCTTTGTTTCACAACTTTTGATTACGTTTAATTCATTGAGAACTTTTGCTTAAACAATCTGCCAAATATACATGTATAAACAATTACTTATACATACATACATACTGCTTCNGGGTTTAACATTTAAACCGAATTTTTTAAATTCTAAACCCAACATATGTGCTCTCTTTTTTATAAACTTGGAAGGTTTGTATTTGAAACTGAATTTAGTTTGGTCATATATGTAGTCCAAAAAGTTTAAAATTAAAACCGAAATTTTTAACCGTGTACATGTCTTTTATACATATATGAATGCACCAATAATATTTCTGACTCAGTGCAAATGATTGTTGCGATCACAATGCGCGGTGTTATTATTCAAAAAGAGTTTTGTACAACCGTATTTTTCTAGCTAAAATACAGCTGTACAGAAGCTATCTATTATCAAACGCGCATTTTTCCTAGGTAAACTTCTACAAATATGTATGCTCATGCACATGTCTGGCCGAGCTTCTCCTCCCATTTGTGGCGTGTGCTTTGTTGCTATGACACAAAGGGGAGGGACCTACAGTTTAACGCCGACTCCGAACGGCGATCGTATTTTTCTAAAAAGCTGTTTTTCATGGCAGAATATTATTTTTATTTTTTTGATGTTGGTCGGAAACTGGGCTCCAACCTAGGCTCTGCGGAATGGTAGCGCACACTGCTAACCACTACATCGCAGCGGCCGCTATTTTATACATGAACGATTTTCTGCTCACTATTGTAGTCATGTTAAAAAATAGTTACAACTACAATACATTGAGTCACCCACCCACTCAATTGCATATACTGATTTGAAATTAAAAATATTATTTTCTGAAAATAGCCCCACGCTTAAAGCACACATACAGACATGCACATGTACATACGTGTGGGATGTGGGAATATGCAGTATAGATTTGCTTAGGTTTGCCTGTTGGCGGCGGAAATTACAGCTGTTGATCTCTCAAATGCATTGGAACTATAAATATCATTGCTATTCTGGGGCGTTCGCTGCCGTATTGGGAATGCAGGAAATTATTGCGAGTTGTCGTGGAAACTATGTATGAGTGTATTATGCATTCAATGCGAATTCATACTGAATAAAGTAATACATTTTACATATGTATGTATGTAGTTATTGAGAAAATATCTCAACAAAAACTGTCTATTTATATATGTGGAGTCTAACGTCTGAAGGATACATGAATTTTTTTTTTTTAAATCAACGAATTGAAAGACTTCTTTAAAACAAATGCAATGAGTAAATGTTTCGAATTTGTATACTCTTTGTGCTCAAAAAAACAATTTGTGTCTTGGAAGTGTGAAAAAGCATTTCGTCGATGTTTTTGCAAAACCGCCCATTGACCAGCCCTGCAGTGAAAAATTATCAATTGTTAAAACTAACCAACTTATAGTTAGCTTTTTGGCGAGATTTCGATTAATACCTCACTTTTAATTAGCTATGACAAAACCAACTTAAAGTNAAGTTAGGTATAAGCTAACGTCACTCCCTGCAAAACCGCCTAAATCGCCGTTGTGGCAAAAACGAGATTTGGTAACCCTGAACTCCAGGCATCGAGATTTATGCATAAAAATCGGTAAATCGTTATTAAAACAACAGATTTGTTAAATAATAGCTAGAGAAAACATTTTCACCAACTGTTCACGTTCATGATTTTCAGTAACGCATTTATCTTCTAATATTACGATTTGGTGGTTGTCAGGAGGCATATTTCCATTGCAGTAATAGTTTCAGTGCGTTTGAACACTTCCGGAGATATGTAGTATGAAAAATTCGGTTTGTGCCACGTCCCCTTTTCCAATAACCGAAATTTTCCTATGAGTATGCGATTAATTTCATATATCTCCATACCAACTTCCAGTAGTCCACCATGAACACTTCCAGATTTAATCAGTATGAAAAATTCGGTTTGTATGGGAGGTGCCACGCCTCTTTTTCCAATAACCACAATTTTTCTCCATGAGTATGCGACTATTTTCATATATCTCCATAGCATGTTCGAGTACTCTACCATGAACACTTCCAGATTTATGCAATATGAAAAGTTCGGTTTAAATGGGAAGTACCACGTCCCCTGCACCTAGCGGTGTGAAATATACTTTACATCCGATTTTCATACCTACCATATATACACAACAAATCTCATAAAGATCGGTCGAGCCGTTTAGGAGGAGTTCGACCACAAACACCGGGACACGAGATTTTTATATGTTAGACCATACTATTTGCATATACAATTTTTTTTTTATGAGTGAACATAGGCGAGCATTCGAGTATAAGCTTTGAACATGATCGCTCCAAACTAAAATAAGACTCGTATGTTTAAGAAATATACGAAAATAGATTTTTTCGTTTAGAAATATTTGCATACATATTTATAAATACTATAAATATTTAGTTATCTTTTATTAATGTTTTTATTGCTTTCTGTTCATTTACAGTTCCAACAACAATGTCTTTAGCCAGTGTACATGGACCTCAATTCACGGCTATTTACAGCCCATTGGGGTAAGTTGAGGAATTTTAAGTACGAACAAACAGTTGTAGGCAACTATATAAAGACCACCCAATATTTTCCATGTCTCATAGCATGCGAGTTTTTCCCTCTTTAACGAATAATTTTCAGTTGAAATGACACTTTTAACTCATGGGACCTCAAACATTTTTAAGCTACCCAAACCACAATATTAAAATTTTTAGAAATATTTTAAATTTGGAAATGCCAAAAATTTAATTCGGTTGCGAAAAGGGCAACTACATCCCGTAGAGGAACTTAAACAAAAAGAGATTTTTGAAATATACACACGAATGGTAATTAACACTAATAAAAGCAGTAATTCAATAACGAAAGCCTGCCTTCCTTTAATTGTTATCGCTTTGCTTTGCTCTAACAAAGAAATTGCAACGTGTTTTATTATTTAGCGTCTCTTTGTTACATTGCGCTGTTTCTAACTAATTTTTAAATGAAAAAACATATTGCAAATAAGTATATAGTGAGAATAAATATTTCTTATATACTTACTACTTATACTACACGCCAACAAATGTACATATGCACACCCATACATATTACTCGTAGTATATACATAATTTCTATGCCACGACCAGTGTTGCCGCGAATCGTTTTTAGTGGTAGCCAAATTCCTTTAAAAAAAAGGGGCTAAAAATGAGCTAAAAAAGTCGTTGTGGCTAAAAATGGTAGCTAAAATTTTCTACTTACATATACATATATGCGTATACACGCAAACATTATCAATAAGTAATGGTATAGAAAAACAATGAACTCTGGAAAAAAAGCAAATATTTTATCCAACCAAAAACCTTTTTGTATAAAAGGGGAATACGCCACCAGCTTGCTGGCTCCATCAAGTGATTGTACCATCAGGCTCGAAGCAAATAACTTACCAGCATGCTGGTACAATATTCATTTCTTTACAAATTTGTCTTTTTTTTTAATTCACAACTGCAATATCGGGAACAAATACGGCTTTGACTCCTATAGTGGAAGAAATTTCCGCCAAAATACTTTTTACTTAGAAAATTTCACTAATTTCACCACTCACGACACCAGCATGCTGGTACAATCATAAAATTTTCAAATAGTTTTTGAAGTCGCACCAGCAGCTGGTTTTATCACACCACAAGACATACATGGTCAATGGACTTGATGGGCCATTTAACAAATTAAGCATATTAAGGGCCGTAAATTGTATCTATTTTAAACTATAGTTAAATCGTTTATAGATAAGTTAACAGCCTTACTTACTAACACTTTTACAGTATGTATGTATAAAAACGTAAGGAACATACAATACATATATGTATATACAAATATCAGTATTTCTTAGTTTAAAAATTCATCTCTTACATAAATGAAAAAAAGAGATCAAATTAAGTATATACAACTTTTTCATGCCAAGTATTAATAAATTCTCCAAAGGGCTAAAAAAAGGGCTAGGGCCAATTTTAAATTTATGTTGCCTTAAAAAGTATGTGGTAGCTAAATCTAGCCACCAAAGGGCTAAAACGGCAACACTGGCCACGACAAGGCACAGCTTTACTGCCGCTTGTCACGCTAGTATCGTCGTCTTGCTATTGCATTTCACGGTCGTGCCGCCTTCCTCCTGTACTTGTAGTAGTAGTACATGCATAACTGCAACCAGTAGTCTGTGCAGCCGTCGCGACCAATACCTGGCGCCAACCCATCATCCATATTTATAAACGGCACATGAAAGTGGATTTGTTGATTAATGCAAAAATGAAATACTCGAATCGCGTGTTTATTTAATTTTTATATTTAACTACATACTTTGCTTCCTGGCCGATGGTTGCAGAGGATAATTCAAATGCCGTTTATGAAATGCGCGTTTCCGCGCTGCTGATTAGTAGTTTATGAACAGAAAATAAAAATGTGGCAAAGAAATCTAGTGAAGAGTGAACTCTAGTATAGGTGTATGCCGCCTGATTTTATCAGAGATTTTCATTGGCCTCAGCAGTAATTCGCTTTTGCTAGTTAGCATTTCATTTTTTTCATGACAGCGAAGTTGCCACTCGCAGCACATTTTTAAAATAGAAAGATATGTGCGTATTAATTATTATTTTTTTTATATATTTTTGTCCTTACAGACGCAGCAGTATCAGCATGTCGTCGTCGTTGTCCGACTTAGTCGATAGTCCGTTGGAAATTTCCGTGGACAACGTACTCACCATTGAAGAGCTGCGTCAACATATGGGCTCCTGTTTTACATGTGGTGTCTCCTGGACCGATGACCACGTTTCGCTCGACTGCACTGAGTGCGGTGGATATAGTTTAGAGCGTCCCTGTCCCCTGTGTGATGGCCAGTGTGGCGTGCAATGGAAGCGTGATTTTACTATGGTAAGCATACATGCAAACATAAATTATAAAAAGCTTGCAGCGTGAAAGCTGAGCTACTTTAACTTGACTGGCTTTTTACCCCTTTCGCCAAAACATTTACTTATTAAAATGTTTATCTTTTCCTTTTACAGTCGCATGCCTGTGGCAAAGCTCGTTGGCATGGTGTGTGTCCCAGCTATCATGAGGCAATGACACATTTAAATCCACTTGAAGCTGCTGCTGCTGCCAATGCCACTTCCTCCGCTGCTCCATCTACCTGTGCCTCAGCGGCTACACACTTACGTTTGGCGCAGGAACTGTGTCTGCGTTTGGAACAACTTTCAGCTGGCGCTCATACGTGATTGCTTTAACAAATGCTTTGATATTCGTATAACCGAGTGCAGCAGCGTCCTAAATGTTCCTCAAGTTCATCACTGATTTAGATAAATCAAATCATCCCAACCTTCTGACATACAGAAATTAATATGTAATACTTTCATATTTACATATGCTTACATAAACTTCGAAAATCAATATACACACTGTACACAAGAGAAGATTTGCTGCAATGCCTGCTTAAATACATGTATACTCCCTGTTAATCTCCAGAAGAAAGGGTTTATGATTTCAAATAATTACATTATCTATGTACATATTTAAGTTTCTAATATTTGTAATTGAAAGCGAACTTTCTGTTAAGACTTACATTCATTCAGAGGAAAGAAGAAAAATGACGTATTTTGTAATGCTTTTGTAATGATAAATTAGGATAATTAAGTGCGAAGCAGTTACCGCAGCCTTTGGCAAATGTAATTAAGAGTCAAAATAGTTGTGAATTTGTAGCGGAATCAGACTCAAAAAGAAAACAGAGGAGAGACTCAAAAATATTTATGAAAACTGAAATGGATTGAAATTTAATTCAAATATAGTAGTTTACAACAAAAGCCAAATTAATTATAATTTGAATAAATGAGCCATTACCATGTTGCATGTTAAAAAAAAAAATCGTATTAAAAAATAATTAGAAGTCAAAACTGCTCAATATATATTATTATTATATAGTCACTACTGCTCTTATACACATACATTTCGAATGCTCAATTGATATGCGCTGTGCCGTACGTACTTCTGTATATAAGGAAATTTAAACTTACTTATAGCTAGCTATTGTTGAAAAAAATAATTTCGGTATAAATGCTTAGGCTTCTGTATATAAGGAAATTTAAACTTACTTATAGCTAGCTATTGTTGAAAAAAATAATTTCGGTATAAATGCTTAGGCTTAAGAAAATTAGTGAAAACACAAAAATAAACGGAATTATGCGTTCTTAGATTTTCTGTGAAAATCTCTATTTTATGCTATATATTATTTAAAACAATAAATATATGTAAGTTGATTGGTTGTAATTGCACAATATTCCGCCAAATAAGTTTATATTATTTGTATGTTAATGTATAAAAAATAATTTAAAAAAAAAAACAAATATCTAAATTAAACTTTCGGTTTTGCATAGAAAAAATGGACTTTTATTCTTTACGCATTTTCTTCACAATAAAGAAACCCATCGATATTCATTTAAACCACATCCAATAGGTGCTAGAGTTCATCGCTATAGTTTTAAATCCAGAGCTATAAATCTGTGGTCATAAGCAATAATCGCCTAAGTCGAAAAACCTGAATTCGAGAAAAAACGCTTTAAAGATTTGGATTGTAATCTTAACCTTATGAGGAAACCAAAATATTTTCGCCTATAACTTTTTAAATAGCCTAGCCGGCGAGATGGGGCCCCTATTATGAGTTGCATTCGATTTTCGATCTTCGCTGGCTATCGAAGATCGAAAGTGAAATTCTTCGTATTATGAGCTATGCAAGCGTGTCGATATTTTCGTTGAGTATCGAATTTTCTATCGAACAGAATTTTGCTCTCGTTGGTGTAGCGAAATGGTAGAAAATTTTAAAAATCTATGATTTCGCATTTGTTTTCTTACTTTTTGGCGGCTAGACACTAATTTCAAACAATTTGTATTAATTTCAAGCAGTTCTAACGTCGTGAATAGTAAACACAAGCTCGAATGTCTGGTTTTACATATGAAAGAAAATCCCTATACGCTGTTGGCACGATCTCTGAAAACAAAATCATGGAGCTGTTTATAGTTTTAATATATTTTAAATAGATTTGAATCACAAAATTTCTTAAATATATTGTATGCGAAAATATATTCAAAAGATTGCACTTAAACTCTCACTTACAATTCTTCTCCTGCCCAGTTTTTTAAGAACTTCCTTGTGCTAATTAAATTTTTTTTTACCACGCTTTTATAAACTCGGTTTCTTTTTTATTTCATTTTAATTTGCACAAATTTACATATGTATAAGCACACTATTTAGTTTGCTCGATCTGTAAACAACGCTTCTAAGCGGTGGAAAATATACTATTGTGAACAACCTAAAAGAGCGAAATTTACAATAGCGCTATTCTTCATCGAATGAGCGCCATAATACCAAATGAAAATTCGTTCGAACAGCACTTTCGACCACAGTCGAAGATCGAATGCAACTCATAATAGGGGCCGGGGATTTCACGTACGCATGGAATAGGGGTTGAAGAATACGATAGCATATATAACTCCATTCTTCCTTAAGTCGACTTAGGCGGTTATTGCTTATGACCACAGAAATATGTAATTGTGTCATTCTTAATGCATATATGTCATGAGTAATGTAACCAACCGTACTTCTTTCGGAAGTACAGTACTTCTTTTTGAGCCATTGTAATCGTACTTCGAAGTACAGTCAAATGTACTTCTTTGCAATGTTTTGTACCACCCAAGGCACATTGAACAGGTAGTATCAGTAGAGCAGCTGATTTGATTTTATTTTATTTTTCAAACTATTCGGTCTCTAAAATGTCAAATATTTTTAATTTCTTCACACAAAAAATTAAAAATAGTCAAAATCTTTTTCATGTGAAACTTTTCCCCCATACAAAACACGCTATTGAAAAGCGAAGTTTGGAACGTTCCCCTAACTCCGCAGCTCAAACGCTGATTACTGGGCCTTGCATATGATGGATCAATGCTTCGAGAAGCAAACAAAATTTACTAAGAAATTTTTGCAAAATCAGAACATTTTTGACACTTTTGATAATAAACAACAAAACACACATAAATGTTGATAGGTATTCTATCGGAATCTGCAATAACATTTAAATTCTTGCAAAAGCTCGATGTTTAACACCTTACTCAATATATCTCAACATAAGTTTTGGAAAACAAATTACAAAAAAATTGTTGATTCTCACAAAATAAACCATCTCGTCATAAAAAAAAAAAAATATTTTAAAAATTGTTCTTGAAAACCCCCAATTTTTTTGAACCACGTTTTTTTATAGAGAATTAAACAAGGATTACGATTGTATAATGNAAATAAACCATCTCGTCATAAAAAAAAAAAAATATTTTAAAAATTGTTCTTGAAAACCCCCAATTTTTTTGAACCACGTTTTTTTTATAGAGAATTAAACAAGGATTACGATTGTATAATGTATGATTTTAAATCCCTAATTTACTGGTCTTCACTATGCAAATCAACTTCAAAAAGTTCAACTGTTAATAGCTAAGTTAGCATTAGGAAAATCTTGACCATGTTATATATAGAAATATTAAGCCCGTTTCTGTAGCTTTATAACGACGTTAAGATGAAGTCTCTGCGATGAGCAGAACCCGATAACGATTTGAAGAAGTACATGATTAGTCAGAGGCCCCTATTGCGAGTGTCGACTGGCAGTAGAATAGAAATTTGTCGATCGAGTCGATCATCTTTTATTTTGCTATTGCGTAACTTGATCGATAAAAATTTGTACTATTGTGAATGGTTGACAGAATTGTAAACAGCTGTTTGTTTGTTTACATTTGTTTCTTTAGTGTTTTATTTACATCATTTTTAAAATAATTGCTTTTATTATAAAATTTAAAAAATGGACACAGTTGAAATATGGTTTAGTGATGAGGAAGATGATGTGGAAGCTAATAGATTAGTAGAGTTGGCTAAAGCAAGGAGGGAATTGCGAGATTCGTCGGATCCCTTGGAGTTGGAAGCTGAAGTGTATACACATATGTGAGTTTTATGAATAGAAGTTGCGTTCCCGATGCTTCACGGTTGTTAGGCTTTACATGATTTGCAGGAAAAGGTGTTTTCCTCATTAATAAACTTTATGGAAGTTTAAGAAATACGGTACGGTTATTTGTACAATGATGTTGGGTTTTTGTGTCCAAACGCGTGACCCGAGTTTAAAAACTTTAACATAACAACATAACAAGTGTATTGAAAGAATTCAACTTTAATTTAAAATAAAGATTTCAAATTTCCGAGCACTAGTCAATTAATAAATTATGCAGTTTTTTTGTATAAACTTTTGATGTTGGCTCTGCGCAAAAACACTGTGGATGGCGTAGCCGGAGTTATATGCACAAGAAATATTGTATATGTATCTTTTCCAATAGAAGCGGAGCTTCCTACCCTACTCTTTCCGGAAATTCCTTTGCCTATGTCTTCACTCTCCTGCATCAGTACGAACAACCGCGCAAGTTGCCTTTTGTTGCTTATAATTTTTGATCTGTAATTCAGACACATACATGCATATGTATATTTCACAATTTTTTACAACTTCCAGTTCAATTGACTTACTTTTTATCCATTATAGTACCACTTTCTTATGTAAATTTTATAAACGCAAACTCCAACGACTAAAAAACAGCAATAGAAGGATGAGCGATTAAAAAGTATTCACAGTCGCTAATTGAGCGACTAAGCGACACTCGCAATAGCATCGATAATCGATAATCGCTTAATAGTCGTTTATCTACTGCCAGTCGACACTCGCAATAGGGGTGAGAATCACGAAAAAATACAAACTTTGGCAGATCAAAAAAAGCGAAAAAAAATTCCTCAAACACGTGCATCGTACAGTTTCCTAAGTAAAAACACTATCAGCTGATTGCCAAAAAATGCCTACAGCTGAGATCACCTGTTTTTTGGCATTTGCTGTTATCTTTTACAATTTCTTACATTTCTGTTACAATTTATTCAAAATACACTAACATACTAAAGCAAAAACACCAATACATTAACCAAAAACACACATACAGCCTGCCAGGAAAAACGGTAAGAAGAAGAGTTACTTTACTTATGGAACTGTACGAAGAACACGTGTTAGCTTATTTCATGTATAGAACCCTTAAAAAAAAGTTTTAGCCAATCGAAAATGTGACGCCAAGTTTGGTGTCCGATATAAAAAATGAATGTCTCATATGTCAAATTGGAAATAAAAAATTAAGTTTTTCAAAAATATTGCTCCCAGCATACCAGCGGAGTCCGATAATAGACCGAAAAGGAGGCTTTACAGTTTTTTTAAATGTTCTTAATCTTGTTTATAATTAATAAGTATTAAAGTGTCTTCATCATTTCTTTTTATTGAAAAAATGCTAAATTACAGATTGACATATTATTCAGTAAAAAACAGAAAACGGAAAAATCCTGAAGTAAATCAAAAAATATTTTTCATCTTGTTTAAAGTACGTTCCTTTTAGGTTTGGAACCACTTTACGCCCACTCTATGGAATTGATTTGCCAGATCCAGCATATTTTTGATTAAGTACATCTTAAAAGTTCTAAAGTTAGACAAAAGTAATTTTTTATGCATTATTGTTTACCTCTAAATGCATTTGAAACTGCCATAACGTCAACACCTTTTTTTGCGGTACCGCTCTTCGGGAATATTCGGAAACGACGATCAGTTTATTATTACTTAATAGGTGGAATCACCCCCTTAGAGTTGTAATCTCCGTTTTTCAAACGGCATAAATTTCAGTTAAGGCTTGGTGGAAATCTACCAAAATGGATGTTTTCAGCAATCAATTTTAAAATGTATCAAACTTAAAATTTAAAATAGCACAATCTCCTAGAAAAAATTGTGTAAACTTAAATTATAACGTCCCGATAAATTTAAAATTGATTGGTGAAACTGGGCATAACATGTTGTAAATAGGGAAATTTTAATAAATTTTTTATGGTCCAATAAAAATTTGGCAAGTGATATGACAGATCCCATCGCCTGTAAATTTCTTCGTTTCTTCTTTTACTATATAAGATAACAACCGCCAGGAAGAAATCTTATTCTTAAATAACCCATTTCGTAACTACAAAA